AAATTAGTACAACCACTATGGAGAACAGTTTTGAGGTTCCTCAGAAAACCTAAAAATAGAGCTACCATATGACCCAGCAATCCCACTGCTGCATATATATCCAAAAGAAAGGAAACCAGTATATCGAAGAGATAGCTGCACCCCCATGTTTGTTGTAGCACTGTTCACAACAGCCAAAATTTGGAAACAACCTAAGTGTCCATCAAGAGATGAGTGGATAAAGAAAATGTGGTACACATACACAATGGAGTACTATTCAGCCATAAAAAAGTACGAGATCCTGTCATTTGCAACAGCATGGGTGGAAATGAACGTTGTTAAGTTACGTGAAATAAGCCAGGCACAGAAAGATAAACTTTATTATGGTCTCATTTATTTGTGGGAGGTTAAAATTAAAGTAACTGAACTCCTGGAGATAGAAGGTGGTTACCAGCAGCTGAGAGGGATAGTTGGGGTGGGAGTATGGGGGCAGGATAGTGGGGATGTTTAACAGGTACAAAAAGTAGTTAGTAAAAATAAGTAAGCCTCAGTATTTCATAGCACAATAGGGTGACTACAATGAATAACAATTTAATTGTACATTTAAAAATAACTAAAAGAGTATAATTGGATAACTTACAAAACAAAGAATAAATGCTTGAGAGGATGGATATCCATTTACCAGGATGTGATGATTACGCATCACAGGCCTGTATCAAAGTGTCTCATGTACCCCATAAATACATACACCTACTGTGTACCCACAAAAATTAAAATAAAAACTTTCAAAAAAAATATCCTGGTATATGCAAGAGAATGCTCATGCCAACATTATTTATAAAGCAAAACTGTAAACAACCCCAATGTGCCTTGGCAAGAGAAAGGATAAAGTGTGGACAGTCACAGGATGGACATTAGATGACAATGATCAAACTGCAAGATAGGACCACCATCAGGGATACATCTCAGAAACAACATACATAGTATGACACTATTTTTACACAGCTCAAAACTCAAGGAGGCGTTATTTAGCGATACAGGCACATGTGGCGAACTGCATTTTAAAAATGAGAAGGGGGTGCCTCTCAGGGTGGAGATGACCATGGGTCAGGAGGCAGGGATTAGGGAGGAGTCATACTGGTCATGTTCTATTTCTCAAATTGAGTGATGAGCTCATGGGTTTATCTCAGCTTTATAATTTACATATACATTACATAAATTATTTAGTATATATCAAATTACATAATTTAAAACTTTTAAGAAAAAACTGGCCAAGTACAGTGGGTCATATCTGTAATCCCAGCACTTTGGGAGGCTGAGGCAGACACATCACTTGAGCTCAGGAGTTCGAGACAAGCCTGCCCTCTCTACAAAAAATACAAAAATTAGCCAGGCATGGTGACACACACCTGTGGTCCCAGCTATTCAGGAGGTTGAGGTGGGAGGATTGCTTGAGCCCAGGTGGTTGAGGCTGCAATGAGCTGTGATCACGCCACACTGCACTCCAGCCTGGGTGACAAAGTGAGAATCTGTCTCCAAAAAAAACAACGAAAAAGGAAAAGAAAAAATCACCAGCCTGGTGCCTGGTAGTCCAAATCTTACTTGCCACCAGCATGAACTGTCCTCAGAGACAAGAGAAGGATAGCATCCTGGAGGCTTGGGGAGATAGGGATAGGTGTTCTGACCGCACAAGCCCAGGAAACAACTTCCTCCAGTTCCTACTTGTCAAATGAGCACAGTTGGTGCTACCCTACCTCGAGGGCCACAGTGAGGATCAGATGAGACAAGTGCTGCGTAAGCCACAAGCCTCTGTCCACACAGACGTTCACTGTGTCATACAGACAGCTGATTCCTCTAGGGAATTACTTCCCCTCCACTCCTTGCAGTTCTGTGGGGCTGCCAAGGCCTGACTCCCCCATCCTCGGGGCTCAGGGCAAAGAGCAACGGGAGGCTAGGCCAGCAGCAGTGTTCTTCCCAGATTGTATGCACAGGGATGGAAGGCAGTTCATATGGAATCATTTGGGCCATGGGGCCCCCTAAAAAACATTGTCCTGATCTTGTTCCTGACATGCCTGGAGCTACTCTGGTTTTTGTCCTGCCTGGCAAGTCAGCTTCATCACTGAGTCTCATGCACCTGGCACCATCAAACAGCAAAACCCAAACCAACTCTTTCCTTATGTGAGTCAATCAGTTGCTGTTGACCGCATTCAAGGAAGCCCAGCCAATTCCGGAGGAAATGCCATTGTATTTCAAAAGCACAGGCACAGTTCGGACATTTGCCAAGGGAGGTAAAGGAAGGCGTCGGCTGAGTGCGCTCAAGTGCTGCTTCAACGGCCTCCTAACTGGTCTTTCCCCATAGCCTTCCAGAATACAGTGTATTCCCGGTTAATTCAATTTATTCCAGGTTCATCTCCAGAAAACACTTTCAACTCTTTCCTACACCTCCTGCCTACAGTCTAGGCCCCAAAACTTTACCAGCGAAGTCCAGGGAACAGGTGACTAGCAGTAGGTAGTGGGGGAGGTGGCATCTGTTGGTCCTGCTCCCCCTCCAGGTAGGAATTCCCGTCACCCACCTCATGATGGATGTGGGAGGAGTGAACAGCCTAGAGATTTGCCATCTCATAAAATTCCAACTTCTAATAGTAAACGCCAAACGCAGGCATTATGTTAAAAGTATGGTTAACCCCGTGGCAATCTGATTCTAAATCAGATCACCTACCACTGTTCCTGTAAGTAAGCACCAGCTTCTGTGAGTTCCTGTGTCGCTGAAGAAAGATAACAAGTAGGCACCTAGATGCACATGTCTGAATTAGCGGGGGTGGATGGGTGTTGGTGGTAGTAAATACACCGGGGATGTGAAACGTGATTCTTGCCTTGAATTGAGTCCCTAAACTCTCTCATCAGTCTATTAGGACAGAAGCTCCATGGGAAAGCAGGCGAGGTCGACTGTCACTGTGAAATACATGCCTGCCTTCTCAGGTGGAAGCAACTCATCTGTGTAGCCTGTTTGCCTGGAATCTTGTTCCCTCTGCTCATTCCCTTCAATGCCAAATCCCACCCTCGTCATGAAATGGGAGCTCAATGACCCAGAAATAATTTGAACAAACCTATTTCACTGAGGACGCATTCATTCATTTCTATCTTCATTAACTCTTTGGGACCCTGTCAGGTATGCTGAGAGCAGGATTTATGTTTCAACTGCTGGGTCTGGGGTATCTTAAAATCTGGGCAATTTGTACACTTAACTGAGAGAGACTTTTTTTTTTTTTTTTGGAGACAGAGTCTCGCTCTTTTGCCCAGGCTGGAGTAAAATGGCACGATCTCAGCTCACTGCAACCTCTGGAAGCAGATGATATTTTGTGCTCTGTAGACAGATACATTTTATATGAAGAAAACTGTTTCCCTTTTCTACGGAAAAAAAAACAACATAGCATTATCTCCTTTTCTTTAGTTTTTTTTTTTTTTTTTTTTTTTTTTTTAATCAGTTGATTATGTTGTTTACTCTCTGGAAAAAACTTTTACATGCTACTCTGGAAAAAACAGCATGGCATTATCTCACTTTCTTTGGGCCAGACAGTCTTTGTGTCACCCAGGCTGGGAGTACAGTGGTGCAATCTCGGCTCACTGCAAGCTCCGCCTTCTGGAGTTCATTTTTTTTTTTTTTTTTTTTTTTTTTTGAGACAGTCTTGTAATGTCACCCAGGCTGGAGTACAGTGGTGCAATCTCGGCTCACTGCAAGCTCCGCCTTCTGGGTTCACACCATTCTCCTGCCTCAGCCTCCCCAGTAGTTGGGACTATAGGCCACCACGCCCGGCTAATTTTTTTGTATTTTTAGTAGAGATGGGGTTTCACCGCATTAGCCAGGATGGTCTCGATCTCCTGACCTCGTGATCTGCCCATCTCGGCCTCCCAAAGTGCTGGGATGACAGGCGTGAGCCACCGCGCCCGGCGATTCTTTATGTTTTAACTGAAAGCAATTTTTTAAGTAGCATGTTATCCAGGTAGATGTCACTGATTTTTTTTCCCCACAAACGAAGTAACAAACATTTAACAAGCCCAGATCTTTTCCTGTCTTAAGACCAAAACACACATGCACACACAATGTTCCCCTAAGATGAATGGGCTGGAGTAAATAGTAACTCATCCTGGGTGACTGGCTATTTATAAGATTTCACACAAGTAAAATGCTAAAATATGGGGAGTTCACACTAGGCTCCAAAGCAGCAACAGCAGAATAGATGGAAAAAATACCCAGTCCTGAACCGTACCTCCCTGACACCCAGTGAAACCATCATTCTTATTCAGTAAACTCTGCTTTTTTATAAAATGTGGTGGTTCCTCAAAAATCTGCGTTCAGGGAAGTATTCTTCAAGCACATACAAGTGTTATTATACAGACCACTAGAAAAGCTTCTCATCATTGAGGTCTCTGTGACTTCCTAATTAATAATATAATCTGGCATTTCTATCCCACTGTATTTCCAAAACACACCTGTCTTTGATGAATTCATGCAAATACAAACATCCACCAGGAGATTATGAGGTGATGTGTTCAGAGCAAACCATAATCAGAAACAGCAAAACCAGAAGTCATCAGTCACAAGTCTCAGAACACTTTCTTCAAATACATAATATTCTGGTTTTGTATTAAGAGAGTGTTTTCTTTAGCAGGATCCAACAGTTGAGCATCACTATTGTCTACTATACTTCTTTGGGGAAAGATAGAAAACAGATTCACCAAAACATTGGGAGGTTGCATGAAGTGACTTAAGGTAAAATGGTCTTACAGTGTCTTTCCTCTCTGGTTAATTCTTACATGGGATCTGCAATTTTGTTCAAAAGCAAGGGTTCAATGTGCAGAATTATTAACCTACAGAATGCCAGTAAAGGAAATATGTTATTCACCATCAAATAGGAATTTAATCCCCATTCCATAGATCCTACAACACAGGACCAGAGAATTAATTGAGAAGTCCATTTTTTTTCCCCAACATCCCTACAAATCAGTCAAGTGGATCTTACCAGAAGCATTGCTGATGTTCCATTGGGTCTGGATAAATGGATGGACATTTCAGGAAACATCCTGTCAATGCGGTTGATCACATCATCAACATATCTAAGTGGGAAAAAAATAAACATGTATGAACTACGACTCCAGTTAAGAACTACAGATTAATAGTATTCGAAAGACATTGCTTTTAGATGTAATTTTAAATCAACATAACACATTTTTAAGAAGGCAAATAGGATTAGAAATCTTTTTGTCTTTACCTCTGTATGTCCACATAATGTGTTTTTAATGCTAGTTCTTGATTTTTCATTTTAAGGCACGACTATTAATTTTCTTCCATAGGAGGTCAGGATTTAGCTGTGTCACCTGCTGGGTCACTGGACTCCAACAACATGGCCCCCTCCCTTTGTCCTTCCAGTCCAGGATGGCAGCAGTGTCCTGCTGTTGCACACCTCTGGGCTGTCTCACTGTCTCATCAGGCTTCTCCTCTGAATCACTGCAATAACCAATTCCTGGGATTAAATTCCTTCTTTTTTTTTTTTTTTTTTTTTGGACGAAAACTTGCGTGACAATTGCTGTGTCACCCAGGCTGGAGTGCAGTGGCGCGATCTTGGCTTACTGCAACCTCCGCCTCCCGGGTTCAAACGATTCTCCTGCTTCAGCCTCCCAAGTAGCTGGGACTACAGGCACACGCCACCACGCCCGGCTAATTTTTGTATTTTTAGTAGAGATGGGGTGTCACCATATTGGCCAGGCTGGTCTCAATCTCCTGACATTGTGATCTGCCCGCCTTGGCCTCCCAAAGTGCTGGAATTACAAGCGTGAGCCACCATGCCCAGCCAATTCCTTCTGTTTTTAAATACCTGAAGTCATTCCTGATCTCCTGGTTGTGCTCTGATTCAAGTTATATCACAATTTTTACTTAAATCAGTAGTCTGTGATTATATTCTAAAATCTCTGCATATATTTTTAATAGCTGAGCTACATAGTAGCTCATGACTACATTTATTTACTTATACAGCTTTCTGTTTTCTTGTATTTCTATTTTGCCTTTCCTTTTTTTCCTTTTTTGAGACTGAGTCTTGCTCTATTGCCCAGGGTGGAGTGCAGTGGTGTTATCTCAGCTCATTGCAACCTCCACCTCCCAGGTTCAAGCGATTCTCGTGCCTCAGCCTTCCAAGTAGCTGGGATAACAGGCGCCCACCACCACTTCTGGCTAATTTTTGTATTTTTAGTAGAGACGGGGTTTCACCATGTTGGCCAGGCTGGTCTCAAACTCCTGACCTCAAGTGATTCGCCAGCCTCAGTCTCCCAAAGTGCTGGGATTACAGGCCAGAGCCACTGCACCCAGCCCTGTTTCGCCTTTTCATTTGATTAGTTTTCTATGTATCTGTTACAGTTTTATTCCCAAACTCTCTACCTGACTCTTACTCCAAACATATCAGGCAAGCTATCAGCTTCATGTTTTCCTTGGAGATATCCCACCGAAAGGGAATCCTCTGTTCTTACAGCCCAGATGAAACCTGTATCTCTTAAGGTTTAATAATAATTGAGGTCAGTGACATTAAGGACTGAGCATGAGAATTGGCACATATAAAGGACTCAAAAATTGTAAGTGCCCTGATTGGTAGTTCTACCACTTACACCATGGGCCAATTCTGCAAAAATGCCCTCTCTTACTGGGATAAATTCTTCCCTACAGTGGTAGCGCATTGTGAAGACATCAGCCCATAGCACCGAGTGGGTCTGGCTCAGGTCCTTTGAGAACAAAATCATACAAGAATTTGTGTTCACCATCCAATCACACTGGACACAAAGAGGATGTATAATATAATAGCTGACATGTAAAACTATCTATTAAGGATTTTACATTGGATTTCATATCCATTGGCTACGACAAATTAAATTACATGTCCATTAAGTTAGGGACCTATAAAAGGTGTATTCTCTTGGGGTAAGAGGGAGATTAGTTCTCTGTTCACAACATGAAAAGATTTTAGTTTGAACCTGGGGCTCATGAGAGATAGCAGAAAACATGATGCCATTTGTTAAAAAGCAAACATCACATGCCAGCTCTGAAAGTCAGAAAGTGACCCTACCTATTCTCTAAGGAAAGCCTATCAGGTTTTCCTTAGAGAATGTGATGTCGAGTTTTAAAACTTTCAGCTGAAGAAGGAAGGGGAAAAATTAGAGAGGGCCCAGTGGTAAACAACAACAACAGTAAGCAGACTGCAGCAGAGATGAGTGAGAAGGCGTGGAGGTGCACTGAAGGGTATTTGATCCTGGAGAAAAGAAGGCCGAGGGAGACTTTGATATTCTTTAAGTACATGAATGGCTTTTACGAACTCAGTACCAAACAGCATCTCCCATCTCTTGAAAGCACCATACTGTGAGGATATGGCACCAAAAAGTGAACTTGCTCAGAAAGAATGAGAGGCATTTCTTAAAGGCAAGGCCTCATTCTGCCGATTTTTTTTTTTTTTTTTCCAGATGGAGTCTCCCTGTTACCTAGGCTGGAGTGCAGTGGCACAATCTCAGCTCACTGCAAGCTCCGCCTCCCAGGTTTACGCCATTCTCCTGCCTCAGCCTCCCGAGTAGCTGGGACTACAGGTGCCCGCCACCACGCCCGGCTAATTTTTTGTATTTTTAGTAGAGACGGGGTTTCACTTTGTTAGCTAGGATGGTCTCGATCTCCTGACCTTGTGATCCGCCCGCCTCAGCCTCCCAAAGTGCTGGGATTACAGGTGTGAGCCACAGCGCCCGGCCTCTGCTGATTTTTTAATGGTTTAATAAACAGTCTTTCCTGGATGGCTAAGACACAGGCTGACCACATATCATGTCCCGTGGTTCCTTCTAGATTTACAGCATCATGACACACAACCTTGGATCTAAGCTTAAATGCTACAAAAGGGGTGAGAAGTGAAGAAAAGAGGAAATGAACTCATTTTTCATCACTGCCTGACGTTTCTTGAAATGGTGAAGGCACATGACAAAAACGTCATGCCCAAAGTTTATACCAGGCCATTGGAAACATTCCTGCATGTATATACTTCTTTTCTAAATCTATATGTGTGGTTTAAACCCAGTTTCTTCCGACTCAGCAGGAAGCAAACATCCACTGTCCTGTGTGAATGGAGGTCATTGCTAAGTATATGCTAATGGGGAGGAGGATAGGCGATGTCTTCTGAACTGATCCTCAATCAATAGCCATCATAGCTCTGGACAGCAGAAAGCAGATGAATATGCAGATCTTCAGCACAAAGGTAACATCATAATTTGCTTTCTCTTGTACCTTTCACCTTGAAGGCATCAAGATACATTCTGGAAAACTAGTTTCCTTAGGAGGCTAGAAAAATAAAGAAATGAGGTGGGTTAAGCAATGATCTCAGGTCAAGCAAAAAGCCAGAAACCAAGCTCAGTGTGTAGATTTCTAGAATTCCATGCCAGCTACCTAACTTTGCTTGCTTTTAGTAAGGACCAGAGTTCTAAATGGGCAAACAAAGGTTCCTGACCATTTTTGATTCCTTTATTGATGAGATTTTTACCTCTAAGAAAAGGCAATGGCAAAAGAAAAATAAGTTCCTAGGGAAAATATCTGCTGATGGCGCGGGTAAGTGAAGAGATCCAGGTGGGTTTCGCTGTTCTTGTCTTGTTGTTTCTTCCCCAACCCGTGACCTTAGACAAAGCTCAGCAAACTCAAAGACTGTAGGAAGCAAAACTGCATTTTCAGGAGATTGTTTTCCATTCACATGCCTAACACAAAGGAGATGCAAATTTCTTTTCTACAGGTGACATTATGTATTTGCCAAAAAGGGAAAGAGAGAAAGTCAGTTGCATCTTTAGCTGAGGAAAACAATGTCTAAATTCGCGAGGCAAAAATCAAAACACTTCATTTTCAAACAGACCCAACCTTCGAAACACAAATCAACCACTAGTGACTTGACAGAAATAAGGAAAGCTTGGAGGCTCAAATTAAAAATCTAGAGACAAAAATGACACTCTTTTTTTCGCTGAGGGAAGGAGTGTTGATATGGGAGGTGGTCTCTGGCAGTACTCTCCGAGTGTTGCCTCCCGAGACAGTGGGCACTGCTGGCGTCTGCAGCGGGCTCTGCAGTGCGGCGCCCCACTTTGAGAGCAGGGCTAAGGACAGGTAGGAACAGCGTGCTCCCCTCCTACACTTCCACCATATGTTACACTCTGTTCTGTGGCAGAATCAAATTACTTTAATTTTTACCTTTGGAATATAGGCAAACAAGCAGTAACACAGCAGTGGTGACTAGTTTACACTTGAGCAGACGCGGCGCGGAAAGACATTAATTTAGTGCCAAATTGAGCAGTGAGTCACAATTTGCACATATCTGTCAACCTGTTAACAGGGTAATAACTTGGAAAGACTGCTGTTCCTATTTACATTACAGAAGCCTTTCGAAAATGGAGAGCTGCTTGGTTCTCCTTGAAGTATTTGGTCAATGAGCTGGCTTGATGGTCCAAGAACTGGGCTAGAAACACAAACTTCTAGAAATTACAGATTCGAATCAAGGTATGATCCATAACTTCAGCATGTTCAGATAGAAAACGAACTTTTAAACAACCAGAGCATTCTGTTTCCCTGTCCTTTGCCCTAGCTGCGGTCAGACTCTCAACGGTTTCCAATCCATTTTTTCCCAGCCCAACCCAACCATCTCTTCCTGAAGGACAGCTTCAGTCTCAACTGCCTCAACATCTCCACTGCATCAGAAACAATCCAACCATTCTCAAATGGCTAAAATGGATTTCAAGAGCCCTATACTTTTGTTCACTTCTAATTTTCTTCAAGTAGCCCAGCTTGCTCCTTTCAATGGCCTTAGTCTGAGAACTAAAGAACACCAGGACCTCAGAGGTCCTCTCATCCACTGTCCCCAACAATTTAGGGTTTTAACAGCATCTCCAACAGGTGGTCTGCATAAATATCCCCCATCACCACCTCATGAGACAACCCCTTGCATTGTTTGACGTCTGATTGTTTCAAATCCACTTGCTAGTATCTGCACCCAATCATCCTACTTTAGCCTTTAGAATGACACACAAATATTTCCTCCAAAACCTAAAGGCTTTCTGGGGTCCAT